CGCAAGAGTAGTGGGGTAAAGCCGTTGTAAATGTAATAAAACATGATTGAATTATAATAACAACATTTAAACTTCTTAAAACTGTGGGTAATAAGAATGCGCAATTTTACAGAGTAGCATCAGCTAGTTTTTGCATTTTTTAATAATAAAATTACAAAAACCTACTTGTTTTTTTGGTGAATCACATCGTATTTAAATGTATGCGACAGTGCAATGCAAGAAGCCGGAATGAAAGCGACAATCGTTCATTCATGCGTCAGTTGCGATGAAATATGCCATTTATCAAATGTCAATTGCATCAATCAAATGTTTCTGTCACATATTATTGCCGACTGCCTTTTTCGAAAAAGTATTCTGCGAAAATAAATAGACAAGAAAATTATACAAGCTAGTGATTCTATTGCGTTATGATATTGCGGTCAAGTGCAAAATCAGGAAGAAATTACAAAATGAGACATAGTGATCAGATCTGAGAAGTTGCGAGAATATTCATATTACTTACTCTTTCAGCTGAGCAGAAACCTATATACGTTTTTTTATATTACAGTTTAAAATTTTGGTTGGTTTGAAAGTTTGATATCTAACATACAGCATGTATCCAAACCACATTAAAAACGTGTATGTATGTGTATACACCGATGGAGGTGCTATAGATATAACTTGTGACAAATAGGAAATATGTGGCCGAAGTTTTGGTATTGCTAAAATAATATTTCGCTTATGTACAATATAATCCTTGAATTGTCGTGAAGAGAATTTTTACCATCAATATTAATCTTTGTAAAACGCTTTTCTTCTACCAACAACTTTCATTGTGTGGTTTTCATAATAATGTCTTACACAAAGCATGTTTGTTCTAGTTAAAACTTGGAGTATAATATGATTTTAGCGTATATGTTCGCTATTCAATCGTTGACAATTTTATTGGCAGTTACTATATTAGTAGAACACCACATAATAATGTGTTTAGGATGCTGTTGGCGCTGAAAAACTATCAAATATTTGAAGATGAAATTACTTACCCGACATAAACAATCGATCAATTATCTTGACTTTGTGGGTGATTAGTTCCATAAAATTAATGTGTTGATATCAGGATTTGAAAAAATTTTTGTTTGCTAATTTAGAACCTAAGTCCGAACGAGTCGATTGAGAGAAAATGTACTTTAAGGTAAGTCATTTCACACATTCTATTCAATACTTTATGTCGCCTAATCAATTGTATAATACCAAGAACACCACAACTCTTTCAGAATATAATCCTAGAAAACACCACCACTCAAAAATACAATTCTTTATCCCCATGTTTCTTTGTCGTATATATTATTTATGAATTTTTTCCTTTGCTGTATCTACCGAAAAATTGACTGTCAACTTTGTGTATTTAATTTACAGTTTGAAAAAACGAATAGTTTTTCGGTTCATCAAGTGCTGAAGTTGTGTTCAAGTGATGTACAGCATTGTTGCCGTGTTAACTTCGAGGAGCTTGTACATATTATAAGTGTAAAACTTTCGATATCAGTATGGGCCGCTGAGCCCCTATAGAGCGTGCTTAGAAAGGATTACATTTGCGGAATATGGAAGGGTTTAAACTTTTTTCTCTGTATCGTATATTACAGACATAAGAATGGTTTGTTTTTAGCTACGCGCGACTTCAATTGGTTACTCTTGAGTGAGTTTAATATAACAAATTGTTTTTGGCAAAAATAATTTTTGTTAAATTGAAAAAATCACGTAGTAATACAGACAGTCGTCTGCAAACAACTTCCACAATTTTATAGCTTATTACTTTGTATTAAACATATCTTCAAATATGACGTAGGTAGATAAATATTACTGCGTTTGAACATTGATACATGAGAGTAAACGACAACAACACCATATGCTGCAGTCATACGGGAAGTAAATTCCATGACGTCGTTTATGCGCCAATTCATTATGAAATTTAACGCGCCATCAGATCATACTCTTACGTGATGCGCTTCAAATATGTGTCGTGTTGAGCTTCAACTGAATAAGAGAAATTGATGTGGTAAGCCAAACATTTAGCTTAACGCTAAAAGCTTTTGGTTATTCAATATCTTTCGGTAAATTGGTTACCTCAGCTAGTTGTGTTACCATAATATTATGATGGCTGAAACAGTTGCCATATAGGAGTATGGAAGGGTATACAAGCATCATAGAGCAAAGGCACCCACGGTGTCATGATTCAGACAGTATGCAGCATAGTCATATCGTATATTATATACAGATTCAATAGTCCGCTGGTGCTCCGCACAATATTTTGTAATACTACTCTTGTGCTGATTTTGATAGTCCAAAACAAAAAAAGGATTTTGACTACCTTTAAAATGATCGAGATTTCTCCAGAAACTTTCAACGATGTCATGCACTGACTTATTTTAGAAAAAAATCAAGGCAGAATGTCCCTTGTTTTAACGTTGGGGAAATGGTTATTTTTTAAAGTCGCATTGTGTACTCAGTGATCTGCATTTTAGTCTGCTGACAAGTTCATAGAATAAAATCCGTGCTTGCATACGTGTGTTTTCTCTTGTATTCTTTCCATATTATTCTGCAACCTGGAATTTTAAGAGTTGCGACGATGTGACGTTGACGCAGTAATCACGTAACCGAATATTTAACGAGTTAGTATCGATTTATAAATTGTTAAGCAGTTGTCGATCATCGTTTGTTTCAAAAATGACAAACCTAATACCAAAATTTGTGAAAATTGCAAAAAAAAATGTGCGTGCAAAAGTATTTGAACCCATAATATATGGCTTATGGTGTAAATAGGTTTTCAAGTTGTTCTAACAAGTTTCTTGAGAAGTAAGCTGTTTCATTATAGCCTTGATACCAATTGTCTTCTTAGAAGGACCGAGATATATTCATTCCGACTCTCAACCAATATTCTCAGGCTCATTGCGCTGTCTACCAATTTGTCTATGACAAGGATATACCCCCCACATGGCCAGGGGTCGAGTACAGACCGATTCATTAGTAGGCTTGCACGTAATTTACGGATTTACGGAATTACGGAATTATTTCGAGTTACGGAAGCGAAGTTACGAATTACGTAAATTCGTAATTATTGGTGGAGCGCTTCCGCGATTGAAACGAACTCTCTTTAGAACAGTCAATTCCGTCGATTGTAAAAAATTAAAGTTTAATAAGTAGAAGAAGTTAGAGTTCCGGTATTCGCAACCGTTTTTCTCTCTCTTGTTATGCAGATGGAGAAGGCATAACGCGTTGCCATTTACTAACCTATTATCAACTTATCTAGCATGGCAAATGTACATATTAAGCGTAGATATGGGATAGAATTGTGTTGAGACCGATGGACGCCAACACACCTGGTTTCAACTTCTTCGGGTGAAATGACTAAAGAATGTAAGAGATCAACTTACCAAACATGGTCTATTTGTAATGCCGTGATAATTAATGTCGCGCTTATCAAACAGCAATATGACGACGGAAGAGAACTTGCGTAATGAACCAACGCAACTTAGTCTTTCCGGCATCGGTAAAGCGATTCAGACGGCAGAGAAACAACAAAAAGTCGGGATTTCCCATGTTTATTCTGCGCGAGATCCATTTTCTATTACAAAATCTTGATGTTCTGTTACCGGTTTTATCGTTATATATCTGTCCGTACTTGGCCTTGTTTTCACAATGCCTCGCACTATTTCGGCCAAATATGTCTTCACAATATCTTTAAGTCTTTACCAAATGCGGCAACTTATTTTGATTTATCGTCGACTCAAATACCACCGGCACTCGACCAAACTTGTGTCAATCTTAGCCGATAGGATTGTCGACTTGAGTTAGAAAAGTAAATTAATATTTTCGTGAGTGCAAAATAAATGTCACCAAATGCATTGTTTTGCGATATAACTTTGTATTTTCGGAGAAGGCATGTCACATGAGTACGGTATTTAAATAATGCGCAAATAATTAATATTTAATCTGAATTTATCACAAATAATGTTATAACATTTAGGCCGCGAAATGATTTAATGTAAAATGAAGCATGGTAATCGGAATATCGTCAATAAGTCGGCATCAATAATTATTATAAAATGCTAACTAGGTAGTAAAGTCGGATAATGTAAAAAAACGGTGCAATAACAAGTCTTCGTCGTGAGGCAAGCGCAAGTATAATCAAACGAGAGAATACGCTCGTCGTTGATTTATAAATTAGGAAGCCGGAATTTTTATTCAATACGAAACTCGTATTAATACGTTAATACGATTTTAAAAAAGTCAACTATCGTTTCATAAATATATTACCACATACCAGTGTTCGTAATGATAAAATTGATCGCATAAAATTGGGTGATAAAGTTGATAAAGGAAAATCAAAGCTAACACAAAAGATAAAAATCAGAATAAAATTAATTTGAATTCACTCCTTGATATTTGTCTTTAGCATATGTCGCCGGCGTGTAGTACTGGCGGAAATATGAAAACCAAACTGTCCCAATTGTCGATGTCCCATTCGGAATAGAAGTGGATTAAATTGGTTGTTATGATAGGTTTAAAAGTGTGAAAAAAATATCGCAATTACGGGGTCATTACGTAATCGATTTGGCCGTAATTACGGAATTGATTTTTGTCAATTACGTGCAAGCCTATTCATTAGTATTCTGTTGGACAGGTAATCAGGTATAAGAAAATCTGGTAATATCCGATTAGCAAACGTAATGTCAACATAATCTTCCGCATCATATCTTATGAATTTGAAGCTATTTTTAAACGTATCAGTCGGAATTTATAATTCGGATTTCTAATTTTGTGAACTGACTATCTTCCGGTATGAACTTGGTCTGTACGTGATACCTTTGGTAACTCTCTGAACTGAACAGAGAAATATTTCGCCTCTTTTTTCGTGACAGTTAATACTTTTTTATTAGTAGATACTTATTTCTGAGTCGCAATAAATGAAATGCGCTGCAAGATTTGAAAAAATGAAGACAAATGACATGTCTCATTTTAAATCATTATAATCTTAAATAGTGGCCCAGCACAGGTTTACGTTGTGGGTAGTTTAGATGTGTAGTGCATCCAAAGAAAGAACAATAGTTGTCACCTGCAATACAAGTTATTTAGCTGAAATAATGTAAATCTCCGTTCGGTACAGTGATCAGACCTTGCTAGGTTTAGCAAAAACTTGTTCGAGTGATTCTTATCTTTTGGTATTTAATTCTAACAAGCGTTTGTGTTATTACAGTTAGCTATTTGAATATTACTGTATTAATAATAGTCCAAATGAGCAACACGGAGTATTATTTGTCGCCCACCCAACTTATGTTGAATAGCACAACATTTTCTTACAATGAAACATGCGTCAGCAGAAAGACAACATCGTTTCTTGTTTTTACAATCATACCAACAGTCCCCCTTTTTGTTAACGTAGTCCTCCTCGTATCCGTTGCTCTTGACAGCGGCCGTCTCTTACGTCAAAGTCGAGTTTACGCTCATGTTAGTTCAACATTGCTTGCTAACGTCATCTTCTCTGCTCTCGGACTTGTTCAGGTAATAAAATCTATTGAATTGTTGGATGTATTGATGTAATAATTAGCTAGATGCTTTTCTCCCGCCGGCTTTATAAACTGTCTATATTCAACATCCGTCTATGTTTATATTCTGAAACTGTAATTATAACAGCATAACAGCTGGTAGTGGACCTAAAGGTGCGGGTTGTCTTTGATCTGTCTCGTAATTAATATACTGAATAAGCAGAATATGAATCAGTACTTCCAATTTACCCCATCAAAAGTTTCAATTCCACCTCATCAATTTTTTCAATTCCACCTCATTAGGTGATATTGTTTATATGTTTTCCTTTGCGTTCAGATCTTGAGCCTTTATTTCAATTTTGAGGGATATTATGACAGTCCAATACCCGGATATCAAGCCGCTGTGAAAGAAGAGCTCGCAACATGGTGGGCTTTCAGGAAAGCATTTTTATACGGTCTGTACATCGTCATGTGTGGAAATATAGGTAATGTGACCCTTTTTTCAACGACAAACGTACCTCCTACCTAGTTTTAATTCAATAATATTGTATAATATATTCTTCCCTCATTTTAACTGTGCTGTAATTATACAGCAATTACAGTCCTGTTTGGTGTAAAATATCAAATTTTTGGTCAAGCTGACATTTCGCCTCAGCATCAATATCACAATGAATTGTGATTATTAATAAAATTGAATTACTGACAAATGCTACAAAATTTTTCAATTTATATATGTTTTATATTCATGGTTGGTACATGAAATTGAAACATTGAAATTCGACCTGAAGCGTTGAATGCTTTGTTTAATTTGCACTCCAATGACTGAAAGAGGAATGCCGTTTTACTCAAAGCTTCCTGCAATTGAGAGAAGTGATCACAATATACGTATAGCAAAAAAATAGTCAATAATGTTGAATCAAAGTCCTAATGATTCATGCATTATGCATTCGAGTGAATCGTATGATAGGGCTATGAATAATCACGTATCGCAGCATTTTTGCAATTGATCATGTTGCTAGCATATAAAACAAAAAGCACAAATGCCTGCACTTTATTAACTGCACTTTTTATAGGAGCTTAATATTTTTAGGAAATGTTTTCCGTTTGAGACTGTTATATATAGGCTACTAACTAGTTTTTACTAGGGTACTCCCGTAGTATGTGTAGCAGGTTAGGGTTAAGCCATAAGTTTATTTCGATTTTCCTCATTTTAGTTCCATTACGAGTTCGGGGACTGCCTGTGTTAGCCAAGTGAATATCCTCCTGCCCATAGGTTTGCAGTCCATATTTACACAACTTGATGTAAAACAGGCGAACAAAATTAATTTCCTCCATATTGGTACACATACTTCTGGAGCGCCCTTACTAGACCATTAACATAGATAGTGTATGGTAATTCAAATAATGAAGATTGTTTTTAAAAGCAACCCGCGTGTGTTGTTTGTGAACAGCTAATTGGCTTCCGCGCAAAATTTCCACAACACATCGTTAAAATAGTTTAGGCATATATCATCAGTTTTTAACATTGCTTAATCGTTACGATAACCATCGTTTACGATAAGCTTTTTAAATTATACACTGTAAACATGCTCAGTCGACTTGCGGTCGAAAAATATTGGAAGCATTTCATGCTACCCAGAAATTATTATTATTTCAAACTCACGTGATAATGTAAACGTATCTTTATGCTTGTTTATTATTCAGCGTTCATCATTATTGTTATATAATATGAAAGAATTAGATTTGCAGTAACTATATTATGAAACATGTGAATAGAGTAAAGAGTTAAATCTCTTTTTCCTACGAAAAGCGTATTTGATATTTTCTATGGTTTGTTGGTAATCCCATGGATGGAGTATCCGATACAACTTTAAAAAAAATTGCTCTAGAAAAAAAATGGGCGCCTGGTAAATTATCGTCGACGAGATCAATATTATAATTATAATCAATATATTTTTGTAATCCTCGATAAATGCTTTGAATGAGCACATTTATTTTTATGTTGACAGGTCTTTTAATTGAAGCAATTCGGTCAAGTACATGCACAGCACTTCGAAATGCTGCTGGAGCGATCCGATTTCGATCACCGAACACCGGGAAAAGATGGCAAAATATGTCCTTCGTGAGTTCCCGACAATGGAGTGGCAGGACTCACGATACGGCGGTACCTAGCAGGTGAATAACGTGTAAGAACCTAGTGAATAGTTAGACTTTTTTGGAGTAGGATAGGATTTACATATTTATCCCGGGGGAGAGGAAAGCCTATAGGAGGACCCAACCATATGGCGAACCACGGCCTCTCGTCCTCAAGTCAATCTGCCTTTTTCAATTTGATAAATCTTATTTTATGCATCACTGCTGCTTTTGTTATTCAGAAGCGCGAAGTTTTCCAGGATAAATACATGCTGATTTATTCAAGTAGACGCATAACATGGATTATATATACATTAATTATTCAAAATGCATTGTCTGTTCATATTGTATATTTCGTATATTCTGGGTCAAAACTGATTTTATATTCCACATTGAAAATGTTTTAATACACCGTGTCGTTTAGTGGTTTTATCGTCAAATGTGCCACGATACAAAATCGTTATTTTCTAGAAAATTTTTGAGACGTAAAAATAATATTCTTAATATAATATTTCTGTCATAGTTCGAACACATTTAATAGTAATATTTAGTTTATTATGCTCATGTCCAAATGGCCTATGAAAAAAACAAGTAACCTGTATTGCAGATATATAAAAAGAATTCGTATCTTATTGATAACAGAACAGCGACGTAAAAACCTTTTAAAGGTTATTCAAACCACAGGATCACCACTTTATCTACTATTTACCGCATATAAAAACAATTATTTATATAAACATGATATGTTTGACAGTTATAGCCAATTACATCGCATTTTATTGTCCAATTAAAAAAATCTGTGGTTCTGATTTTGGTATTATAGAATTATCCTCATTGTTGTGTTGATATGTCTGTTCAGGAAATATTTTACCAATTTTCATTTTTCAGTCGAGTGGCTAAACGACGTCGTTCGTATATATCAATATCCTTGTTGTGGATTTTATCTTTTGGCTACGTTCTGGCTACAGCCGTAGGTTGGAGCTGTGTTGGCCACTGCACTTGTCTCAGTTCATGTTTTCCTGAAGGTCAAATTCAGGATCCGCCCGTTAGAGGATGCTCGAGAGCATTCCCACCAATGGCGAACTCGTGGCTTGCAGTTACAATTGGAATTTGGGCATTTTGTTTGATGGGAGTGTTTATTTTAATCAGAAGGTGAGTTGGTATATTTTACCCATATATGCTCCTGATTAAAGTTAGAAAAAATAGGTTACTTGTATAATATTTACAAACATATATACAAACAATACAGTACTGGAACGTTTTAGCAATTTGTGTGTCTCTGTAGTTGGTTTAACGGACATTTACTTACGCTGATACACATGGTATTATAGGTCAATCCTGTTATTGAACAAAGCGATTCGCAAGCATCATCCAGAAGAATCGGATGATGTATTTTTAGAGAACGAACCCGCGGAATCTGAGAACAAAATCACTAAAAGTCCTCATTCCGTAGACCAAGAGTTGTCTGAGATCAAGAGTGAAAGAAAAGAAAAAGTTGATTCAAACGATAAAAATAGAACAAAAATATATTACGCCAGGAAGATTTCAGGAAATGAAGTTGATAAAAGCGGCAAAAAAACGAGAGTAAGCACGACATCGTTTTTTGGAAGCATTTCGGATCACAGGTCTTTGCTATCTCGAAGAAAGCCTTTTCGATCCAATCATATAAGCAACGCTCTTAATAAACAGTCAAGCTTAAAGTATGTTATATGGCTGACCGCATTATATGCTTTTTGCACCACGCCTCCCATGGCCTATTTGGCAGCAGATATGTCGTTTCCGCATATGACGATGAACATGGTCGTAATGAACGTGTGTCTCGTATTTCCCTACATATATTGTTTCATATGCCCGATTGTATTAGGCAAATGTCTTCCGGGAGTGAAAGCATCACTTGTACGATTGGTATTCAAATTATGCTCTTATTCAAAAACTGATAGAACATCTATTAGTTCCATCGGCTAAACGATCTCAATCACCACCAATGTTATAAAAGCATGAAACAAACATGGAAACGACCCTTTGAGGTCATATTTAAACAAATAGAAAACACATCAACTGACGCAAGAAGTACGCTATATGCTAAGACAGATTTTTCATGAAAACTTTATAGTCAATGTGAATACAATATTTTGAAGATCCGTATCTATGTTTTCATTTGGGTGTAAATTTGCCGCGCAGCACAATTCGGAAGCTGGCAAAGGAACGAAGCAAGAGGAGAAAGTTTTCACAAAATTATAAAGTTTTTGGCTACACCCCTAACGTTAGGGATACAAATAAAATTAATGGGGGTATTGATTGTTTGATTCTTATATCACTTATGTATAGAAGCGAAGAGAGGACGTGATCGAGAACCATAAGATTTTTTATGTGAATAAATTGCTAGAAATCGGGAACCCCATCCATAACATACGGTGAACAGACAAGACATTATCACATATTATACTACATAATAATTGTATGTATATTTTTATGCCAAGAACATTCTATATATATTTAAATATGTTGTATAGCGCATTCTAACGAATTTATAGGTTGAATGCTGCTATAGGTTTGTTGAATAGGAACTTGACGGTTCTGCAAAGTCTACCTAATTCGATCATATATATTACGTGTTTCCAAAACGAAAGATCCCAAAAGTTCTATTTAATTAGATAATCAATTAAGACTAATGACTGTGTAAGAAGTAAGAATAGTTTACATCAGCGTTACAGAGCGTCGTTTTTGTATGGCGATCTTGAACGCAACGAATGTAAGACGTTATATAATTATTTCAAGTATATATTGTTTTGCTATTAACATCAGATGTTAGTCTTAATATTAATAAGAGTAGGTCAATGGATTTCAGCCTGCATATATTTTATTAAAAAATAACATTACTTCGTATATTTCATTTGCCTGACGTCAGGCATGTAAGAGAATTAATGACGATTAAATCTAACTGTAAATGAACACAGATTACTGTAGATAAATAAATGAATTACTAAAGAAATCTGAGTTAGATTATAGGTTTAAAATTGGGGCAGATATATTTATAGATTGCGGTTGACATGGAACGTGATTACGTAAATCAGTTTAATTAAGTTAACGCTGCCAGGTGGATGAATATTGCAAGAAGCGGGGAATCTGGAAACGAGACATTCGGCGTTTGTTCTGTCAATATGATTTGTCATACTTTCCACAACCATATATTATGATTTTTGGGGTAATAGAAACAATCCCTCGCTTGAATCAATTGGAAAACGAATAACTACTATCTATATATACACATTGGTATGAATTTTCTAAAAATATGCGAAACCATATTGATCACTATATTGTTTTGCTGTAAGTGTTATTTGTCCCACATGTATTGTTAAGGATCTTTAGATTTGGCCGTGTATTAAAGTAGCTATGCCCAACCGTTTTGGAAATTATAACGTTAGGCTATGAGTCATATGATTTTTTTTTTATATATCCACTGCAAGTTATTGCACACTATCTGTTCTTTGTCTTTTCGTAAGTCAACTATCCTATTTTATTCAAATTTTATTTTCGTTTGTCTTAGTAGGAAAATTTCATAATATATATGTGTTTTTATTATTTCTATGTATTACCACTGAATTCAAATATTGCAAAACTATATCGGTAGATAATGCCATTAATAACCACTTAAATATATATTTAACCATACTTCACAGCTGAATAAGAAAATTTTGATATATATATATATAAACGTAAAGTCGAATAACTAAATTTAATCAAGATTTTATCAACCCAGTGTTAAAACATGAACTGCTCAAAGAACGGTTCCATCCAATGCGGATATACTCAACGAAAAATTTTATTTGTTCAAAGTATAGTTACAATAATTTTGATTCACATTACGTTCTGTCAAATCTATTTCAAAAAGATTGTCCAAACTCCGACTTGAAAAATGCATGTTTTTTTCGCTGACATCGAATTTTCAATCTGTAATGAGTTTGAAACTTGTTTCCACTGGCCTAGTTGCCTTATCTAAAATGGTCGCGGTGCTCACGCTTCATCGAAATATAAATGGCGCTGATTTTATAGCTGAAGCCCTTTTTCGCAGTGTTTTTTTATTATTTTAGAATACCCAATATTGTGACTTCGTCTGATAATGTTTCACAGCGAACAATCTTTGAGATGTCTTTTATCAAAACAGTTGCATAATTTGAGTCGGTTTCGGTGATGTTGTGGTATTTTTCAATTTGTTTCTCATTATTGCGTTTGGTTATTCGAAATAATGTAATGAGAGTGACTTGTTAATGAATATCATTTTGTTTTCTTGCTCACCATATTAAAAATCAAATTTGTACTTTTGCATTGTTTATAACACCGTTATTTCGTCACAAAAAAACGTTTAAAAAATCTTTCAGGTGTCACAATTTACAACAGAAGTACATTAACTCATAATTAATTCGAGCAGAGCTCAGCTTCACTGACTTTTTGTTCAATACTTCAAAATGTAAGTATTCCTCGTCAATGTGAAAAGTGATCTATGAAGATGAAAAGCGCACAAAAGAATATTTATTGGGATGGACAGAATTATATCATGCGGGAGACTTTATCACTCAGCACCGGTCACAAGACAGTCCCTCAAAAATTATATTTTTAATATGAAAAAAAAGACTGTGTGTTATAGCTATTTTAAGGTACATTTAAGGCACCCAAACCTTCGGGCATATGTCATGACTGCATGCGCGTCTGGCACGAAATGGAAAATTTGACTCGTAATATATCTCACATTGTCCATATTCTTTTTAAAACTGAAGATAGATTTTTTATACGATCAAATTTCATGAAAAATTGTTCTTTATCCCCTATATCTTGTATATAAAAATACAGCTATGTTTCGTAGAAACGGCAAGTAGGCCTACTATTGTTCACTTTCTATCTAACTATCAAGTCGGAATTTTTTAAAAAAATATTCTTGAGCTAGATACCTCCGGATAACAATAGTCAGTTGCTTTAAAAGCGCGCAACATGAGTGGTTCATACTTCATTTTATTATATTGTAAGGTTACTACTATGAAATGAATGAGTTGTACAAATTTTCACTGCATTGATATTCAGAAAGGGTTCGAGCAACCGAATTTTTGAAATGTTTTTTGTTACATTTAATGCATCATGATTAATATAGACACCGGATTCTGGTAATAATTGCACCTTAAAATAGAAAAAATATGAATCAAAAATTAAAATATATTGACCGATCTACTTTCCACCCAATTTCCAAAACATATAAAACAGGGGGGATGTCTTCCCTTTGGTACAACTTGTGCAACAACCGATATAAAATAACCGACTTCATAAAGATATAGCGGAACCGTCGACATGATTTTATTCCCTATAATTTTCCTCCTAGCTATTGCGGAAAGTTTACCGATGGCAGAAGAGTCAATACCGGTCACTCTGCAAGGCACAGAACCTAATAAAGCTGTACTACATGCTGAATGTCAACATTTCGAAGCAGCTGAAGACAGGTAGTTATGATCGTAACGTTACTATAATAGTAAGGCAGTGAGGCACTATCCTGTAATTGACCCCCGACTGAGTTCCTGCTCTCTTTCTTTAATGATTTTGATTTCAGCTATGAGATAAACAGAATCAAATAGAAATAGGGTGGGTCAATAGTAGGCTTATCATACGTCCCGTTTTAAGCGGGGCAGTCCCATTTTTTAACGTATTGTCCCGGCCGCCAAGCCAAAAGTCCCGCTTTAGCGTTCAGTCAGCCAGCATAATACACGGACATTACCATTAACATGTTCTCGTTACTATTATTGCTGTGTAGCGTACAACTAACTTAAGTTGAATGCGTGATTTTTTTTCGTTCAATGTTAGCAGATAATTGGTACAATTTGTTACGTGTAAGCTCTGTACGTCAATAGGGTATCGCCACTTTTGCAATAGTACCGTGTTTTCCCGAAAATAAGAGCAACCCTGAAAATAAGACATATCGGAAATCGACAATTGACATCCTTGCACCAAATATATATGTTGCATTGAGTGTAACGAGCTTGAGTACTCACGCCCGCAAATGTGTTTCAGGAACACAGTCGACATTGACTAAACCTCAAACAAATTCTTTTTAGGCGAAACTGTGAACAGGTATATGCGACTGACTACGTCATATGGTCTGAAAAAATGCTTGCTGATGAACAATTTGTATCTGATTTGGATGTTATAGATATGTCTGATGTCGGAGATAACAAACATCTAAGACAAAAAAGATCTGCTAGAGGTTCAAAGTGTCCAACATTCAACACTGACTATACTACCAGAAATAAAAAGAAAGTCAACCAATTGAGTATTTCGCCATGGAAATATGTTTTAACTTATGATAAGAACAGGTTAGTACAATATATTTTGTATTTTTCAAACTATAAAATTTCGAATGAAAGACGATATTCTGGTATGAGTATCAAAATTCTCCTTATTATTCTTGATATTAATGAAACAAAAACATTTTTAGACTTCCGCGAAGACTACTTAATGCCACTTGTCTCTGTGACGGATGCATCAATATAAGGACATTGCGGGAAGATCAAAGCGTGATAAGCAAAGAACTCTATTTCGAGATTCTTATAATGAAAAATAACAAACTAACGAAGCAAAGAGTGAACAATGGTTGTTTCTGTAGTTTACCGTTACTAATCGAAACAGAGTAACTTAGAGTACCTAATGAAGGAACATAGGAAAACTGATTATGACATTTTTTGCTTTGTTTTTATGTGCATTTTTGAAATTTTTTTTCACCGTAGCTTGATATTCAATATTTTGTTATATATATACATGAAGTTTAGTCAATTATTCGTCATTGCAATTATTAAAATTACTTTTATTTTGTGTTATATTTTAAAAACGAATATTCATTAGGACATAGGTTCTCAAAGTGCTCCGTACGGAGCCCCAGGGCTCCGCGAGAGAAGCCTAGGGGCTCCGCGAGCTATTTGATTAGTTTTCAAAAGACTGACTTGGCTAATTTTGTAACTGTCCAAAGAAGCAATAACAGCTTTAATAAAATTTGGCAACAGTATAGCCTCGAAATATGACAAAGTGGCGGAATTCGAGATTTACATTATTTATAAGCAGGAGCGCAGCCAGAATTCTTAAGGGAGAGGGGGGATCAAAATTGGAATCGGAAATTTCCGCGCAACATTATTCGCGATTAAGTAAAAAACTTTTTTAGTGGATAACGAGATTTCTGTTGCGTAAAATATTCAATCCATGACTGATGCAACATTTAAAATGTCTTGTCATAATAATTTAATTGTGCTCATCGTTACTCACGTTTGATTCAAGATTACTACGAGGATTACTTAAATAAAAGATTACTATTCTAAAATAGCATAAAATACGTGATAAGTTGCCAACTATAAATAAATTGAAATCGTATTTTCGCGATCTTGGGATTTGTCAAACTTGATTTGTTCCTTCGCACTCGAGATTATTTTTAAGCAAGATATCGCCGTTCCAAAAATCCCGAGGTCCACGTTAAAACTCAATAAGTACAATATACAATTGTGCAATCCATGACCGATGCGGGCATATTTAAAATGACTTGTTTATTGGGTTAATTGTGTTCAATGTAACCTGCGGTTGTGTCACTTACAATAGAAAATCATTACTTCTCAAATAACCACGGCAATCCGCGAACATGAAATGAGAAACAATGAAACAAAGTTAAGTGAACGAAGTTCTTGTGGACTACCGTATATCCTGAACAACGCTGTTATCATAAGATATTAGGAACAGAGTCATATTGCCGACAAAAGAACATAATATCTACTACCGGTGCCAGAAGTTTGATAAGATATTTGTGCCCGTCCCGATCAAATCGTAATCATGACTGATTGATTGCGTGGCAGTGTGGCGGATTATAGCGATTTAGCGAATTCGACAAATTTGAGCCCTTCTTGCAGCACTGACTCCACCCTATCGCAGGTCTCCCACTCAGATTCTTTGCAAGATATCACCCGATCATCGTTTAAAAAATCACAAGGTGTAGGCAAAATACAAACGATTGCAATTTATGTTATCGCATGCTTCTCCGTTGGTAGTTTCAGAATGGGTTTCGATTTCAGTTACTACGATAAATAACCAAAGAAAACCTAAGATAACATCAAATATATATTGTCATTTGCAATGTCTAAAAAAGCGTTTTGAATCTGTCGTGAGTCTGCTGAAACAATATTTATAGTGTTATCTTCGGTTTTAAGTTTTAGTTTTAATATTTCATAATGCCGCTTTTCAATCAAGAACTTTGAGTTGCGGATTTACCGCCGATTCGTTAATAATTATATTTAGCATCTCGTCGCCGATGACTATAATATATTAACATGTTTTTCACATCGATTTTATAATTCCCCACGAGAACAAAAAAGCAATTATCGTCGTCATTGTGGAACAATACATGTATATGCCGGAGGAAATTTTTGATTTAGGGAGAATAAACACCGACGTAAAGATTTAATAGTTAAAGTTTAATAAGGTATAACGTTTCTCGCTGACGAAAACAGTCGGCGATTGTACCAAAATGCAATCGCGCATCAACCTTTAAGTCTTCCAAAAATATCAAAAGGAAAAAGATTCGACCCCTAATTTATTAATATGTTTGTCAAGTGTCAAATTTACAGCCTTAATATATATGATTTATCTTTGAAATTTAGATTTATTTATGAATTGTATTAACCCTAAAAAAGGTTTAGCATTAAAAAAGTAAAGTACTTTTAACTTACTCAGTAGTATTAATCGTTAAGTAACAATTTTAAAATTCATTTTAGGGCTCCTTGAATAATAGTCAAAATCTTCACGGGCTCCGCAACACCAAAAGTTTGAGAACCCCTGCATTAGGACGTATCCGTTGTAGCATTAGATCTATATTGTTGTTTGCAACTAGTAGAAAAACTATTATGACTATAACTTCGGCTATGAACATAATCCGTGTAATACGTGAATTTTGTTATCAATATGGGAAGTTCTTGTCACAGATGTCAGTGATATCCAAGATGCAATTGCGTTTATATAAAAGTGGCATTTTGCAAAAGCAATGTTGCGATGTTACAACCTATGGTTGGAATGTTTGATACATACCATTAAAGGCAGCTATACAAATAGATTTATTATTGAGACACAGGGATCATATAATGCCACCAAGCCGAAACACCACGTTTGAAATGATGTTAATCTGTATTCTCTTTTCACGCAATACAAAAACATATAAACTTGTTAGTGCAGTAAAACATCTCGATAAGTGAATAGTCACTATTTTATTAGATTTGATGTATAAAACGTGTCAATGAAATTCTGTTCAGTAATCACTGAATGACCATTTAGTGAATTACATAAAACTCTCAAAAGTATTGCCCGTTAATACATGTTTAGTCTATCGTAAAGGTGTGGTTCATAATGATTTGTAGGATAAAAGCCACCGATTGACCTTGAATATGATATTTAATCAAAACAAATATAGTTCAACAAAAGACTTCGTGAGCAGTGATCTAGTTCATTTTGCTGTTCTTATACTGTTTCGTGAACTACTTGTTACTTTTCGTTTATTGTATCATCAAACCACTCCGAAAAGAGCTCTCCCAAAACAAATATTATTATAAGAAATATGAAGTCAGTCCAACTCGACACGGTGTCCGTGGTAACTATGAGTTAGACAATTGAACTAGTTTGCCTTCGTCAATAGAACACCAGCTTCCATCCGTTTTGGGTTATAAACTCAGTTGACGGTATGAGAATATATATATATGTAATATTTGCGCCGGAATTGAGATTGGCTTATCTGTTCGGCCGAGTCGAGCGTTTGCATAAAAAGTTTTTAAAACATGATTCTATATCCTCAATTTTGTATAACAGGTCATATATATATATATATATGTTACCAAAGTTGATAAGATATTTGAGTGATTTGGTTTTTCCATGTTCAAGCTTTTGGGATTTGGGATGTGAGTTTCAGAATTTTGAATCCAGGGGATTTTAATTTTGAATCCAGTGGATTTTCTGTTCATCCGTTTTAATCCTGGGTAGACTGGAACTTATATATATCTGACTTCACGGCCTTGCTTCACCGCAAGGAAAAATATGAGTACTTACAATGCTATGAATGTCGTTTTCCATTCCTGAATTTATGCGCAGTTTTATTTAGTCTTATTTCCTTACTACTGTCCTATAGTCGCTCAAGATGTTAAATAAATCTATAGATAAAATGCTATTTTGTCAGCGCCAGATTAGCTTTCGGTGTTGCAATGCTTTTCGGTGGTAATTCTAGTTGGTTGCTGCGTTAGATTCTAAAGTAATATTATTGGAAAACTCGCAACGAAACGAATAGCGAGGTTGCTTTCTGTAAAATATCAGTGGTTAGGTAGACGCCATAACCATTGTATCATATGAGGCTTCAAAATAGACAAGAGCTGTATTCAAATAAGTATGAAGACATTTTGAGAATTACACATCTTTGCGATAAAATAGTCAAAAAGTAAAACATTTGGTACTATCATGGTATGAATTTAAAGCGCAACAATTACGATATCAAAATTTAAATATTATTACTTATCAAATTTCACAATTATAAAATCCCATTACGTCACGATATACATGTGTCATGGATTGTCAATATTTGATGTGAACGCAACTTATGTCTACAGTTATTTCAACTTCAAGTCACGCAGAAAAAACTTCTGTTTGTGAGACACTTGAAGCCTCGCCATTATTAAAATTTTAGAAAAGAAAATCAAGTTTGTTTTTGTCATGATATATTTATTTCGTGGATACAGGACGGTGTAATATTTTGTACCTACTGAGTATATTATGTAGTTATACCGTTATGATTTTTTGCTATTTATGACACTAAACTGAACACAAATTACAGCCCAAACCATTTATGCAATATGATTTCAAATTAAACAAAAACATGCTCCATCCTGTTTTATGAAGGGTGAATCAATAGATTGAATCACTTTACAGTTATGTTCAAATCATTTTCGTTCATACATGTTTAGACAAAATAGGGCCTCCGATCGGGCCGTTGTTTACTTTGGAACTCATAGACACTTGCAACCATCAACAATACATTTAATTCTTCACCAAAAGAAAACAAAGGCGGGAGGAAAAGCTAGTTCCATTGTCCCAAGCAACAAAGAAGCTGGTTCGTACGGTCACGATTTTTTTCATTTAAAAATCGACTTCAGAAGATTGGTTAAGCTTTGGCGTGGGTAACACTTTCTAGCAATTTTAAAATTTTATTTTGTGTAATACACATTCATTTCAGGTGAGGGTGCAAAACAGTGTTCATGTTGAGTTGTCGTAGGTGCGAGTGTTGTGGTTGGAGATCTTCCAAATAACTTTAACATTGGTCAGCTAGATTTCCTCTCGAGTTCATCTTGCTTCTAATTTCGAGAATGACGAAACATACTTACTCATAAAAAAGGCTAAATGTAAACAGCTCGGGTCACGATCGTCCGACCCAAAATCTTAAACAATTATTCTCAGACGATCCTGACAGTCTACCATGAACGAAAAAATCTGAAAGCTGGGCCAACTCCAATTAAGCCACCGAAGCTCTTGAAAGTTGGCGAAAGTGGTTACTGGGAAACTCAACAGTAGCTGGTAGAGATGCTGGTCAGCAAGAGAGTACATACGATAGTCAAGTAGCACTTCAAGTAAAAAATACGCTTGTTTTCACGGCCACTTGGCGACCGCACGACGACAAAAATTTAAATTTGACAGTAAATATAAGATGTTCGTTCATCGCGCAAGATTAGTGAAAGAACTGCAAACCGACTACTGAGAATCAGTCAGTTTCATAGATATTTATCATGTTTGAGTCTGGTGCATGATTAGGAAATATTTTATTACGGGGTTCTGTTTACCACAGCTTGACTGCTTTGGGATAACCGAAAAGGTTTTCAATAACTAGATCAGTCGTCAGTCTAATTAGAATACCAGTGCTTAGTAAGATGCCAGATTTTACAATAATAAAGTATAGTCAAATTTTACTGTGATAAAAATTGATCTGTCTTCTAAACAAATTTGTAAATACTTTAAGTTTTTTAACTTGGATCTACGGTCAGACAGACATAACGAGCCATTTTAATATCCTGCGAATATCTTCGTTGAACATGCGTGCTTGCTGGGGAACTCCATGCCACTCTTTATAACATTCTAGGAACATTCGTTTCAAAATTTATTAATAAATTGTTTAGTGGTAATGACATTTCATTAATTTCATTCTCCAAGGCGAAATTCACAATTTCGAAACTGTTTTATAATACAATATAACTGAATAAATGCATCTGCTTATCCTTATCCTTATAATATATATATATCTATATTACGAAACCGATCAGACAGATGGTGGCTTATTAAAATATATATTTCATTTCTCGTATTCAAGTATATTCTGTGTAGTGACAGGACGCCTACTTAAGATCAGATAGATATAGTGAATGTAAATACTGAATGTCCCATTTGGATAAAGTTATTTATTATCCCACGGTCGAGTATGGCATATTAACGAAATGTGTGTGTCCCCAATTCATGATTAATCTATGGACTATACTGTCTAAGAGTAGATTTATAAGAATGAGATGAAGGAAATATTTTTTTGAATCGGGGACAGTGCTTTTTGCGTTATTTATCCAAATTTAAAAGAATTCCATCACTGCGCTTAGAAATCATATTGTCAATCGTGGACCATAGGTATTCAATCATTTTCCAACAAAATAAATATGACTTCAATGTAGATATCAAGTTGCCGATATTTATATCATAGCATGTTTTAGAAAAAAATAACGTTTGTATATATTTGAATAAATAATTTAGTTTATTATAACTATAATGAAGCACAGGCCGTTTACTGCTAAGAGGCACAAAATGCCTCTTCATTTTGCAATCAGCAACAAAATGACGTCAGAAGTCCGTTGTTTAATTGAGGGCGGGTACGACGTGGATGCACGTGACCAGAATAAGAGAACTGCCCTTATGTTGTGTTGTTTGGAAAATGATGAACATTGGTCAGCTGGAGTAACGCGAATGCTTCTACAGGTATTTAAGATATAGGTTTTAATTTCGTTAACTCATTCAGTTTTGACAGACACCCTATATTCCCATGCCCTTCCCATATAAACAAACTAATTAACTACTTCGTGGCCTGAAATTTTAAACCGGGTCGGGGCGGGTGACTGACAAAATATTAAATAGATACTTGATTGAAATAATGAAGTATCCCATGTACTGGCACGCGACATCAACTATTATATGAAACAAAAGAGGTGGAATTACTACTGACTGATGTTTTGATACCAGCTCATAAAGATCGCATTCCCTTTGTTCATAGATAAGTATTCAACCATTTTTCGAATGAATAACTTGACTTGTTTTTTTTTCAGACCGGTGCTGACGCATCATTGCGAGATTTGAACGGGAGGAATGCCTTAATGTTTGCCGTCATCTTCTTGCGAAAGAGTATTATAGACATACTTCTTATGTCGATAGACTTCGACGTGAATGAAGTAAATTCCTAACAGTTCATTAAACAAAACTAACTGTTGACGATTTGAAAACTTAAAAAAACGCACGTATAAATTACTTACTAGTGATGATAATATTTCACAGAAAGATGTAAACGGGAGGAGTGCACTTCATTATGCCATTCTTGGAGGGGACGAATCTGTTATTAAACGTATTTCAAATATTTGCGGAAAACAAATTGCTGGGCCTCAAACAATATCGCGTAAAGAACATCCGATAGACCTCGACTCTTCATTTGGAAGTGACGTGAAACGAAAGGTGAGAATAATGCATCAAACATCAGAGGTGAAATATGATCCAAAAACAAGAGAGCGATGCTAAATATATGAACACGGAGACTAAAACGATGTAGTACGGGTATGCAATTTGTCACAGTAGACTACTGGTACGGCAATCTTTATGACTAACCTGAAAGCGGAACATCCACAGAATGCGCAATTTTCGATGACGTCATCGCACACAAAAACCGAAAACATTTTCGAACTAAAAAAAAGTAATAGCCTTGTAGCGAAAAATACAATCTCTAACCACTGAAAATTTTGAAGCTATTAGTTCAGTAGTTAATGAGAAGAAGAAAATAAAATGACCCATGTGTATATTTCGTGTCCAATAAGTATATTTATGTAATTGGTACTTTATTACTATTTTTTCGCTTCTTCAGTCAAAAAAGACTTTCCTAATTTAACACACAAATGAAATTGGGTGATGAAAAAAACGTCTGATTTTTTGGGTTCTATGAACAACGCAAATGAGTTTGTCTTTTTTGAAGATATAAATCCCATTCTTTTCACGAGATTCGGTACAAATAATATTTCAGTAGTCGGCCTAGAAAAATTTGAAAGATTTAAAAAATTTCCAAAATTCTCGGCAGATATAAAATAACTTTGAGCCATAGTCACAATGGATAATGCAACTATGTAAATACAAAACAAAATAAGGTTTGTAAAAAGCACTTTAACAGTAACCGCATGCCGGAAACAACGTGAATAATTACGACTAGTTATTACTTTTTTAACACATTTTTGAACACGAAAAATAAATAGGATCGTTTTGTCTTCATGTTGTTGTTCATCATTTTTTTCTTCTTGTTGTGAAATAATTGCATTTCTCTTTAATTATTGAATTGCTTTGAAATTTTCAGTGGTGAAAGATTGGTATTGTCAACAGGAGGCTATTACTTTTATTTATTCTTAAATTTCCTATGAGATCTGATATTTCATCCAAAATTCTGCTTTTTTATTTTTATTCATGGGAACACGTTTTATGAAATCGTTACGGCCGGCACTCTACTGTGACAGATTGCATACCTTGACTTTCGTGTCCGTATATTTGGGCGTCATTCTCTTGTTTATTTATTGATTCGCGTACAGTCACAATTTTCAAACCTAAATATCGAATCATATATCTTTTAAATTCATACATCTACAAGATTCGTATGCGTGTCGATAAAATGCTATATATATTTTGATAACTCTGCAATTTTACAAATATTCTCTATCCAGAATTCGATATTTTACAATCCGACAGTTCCTGTGCGACCATGCAAAGAAATTGCCCGGGATGAGCGCTTAACTGCCAGAATTCATAAGTCTAATTCAGATATGAACGTTCATCAGTTTCGACGTGGTACCATGCAGAAATATTACAGAGGAGCTGCCTGGAAACATAGGCATTCAGCTTGTAGCAGTAGATTTGCAACAGTATCTTCCTCAAATCAGAGTATTTCAATAGACTTGCCGAACTCAGCAAGAAGATATCGCATGGGTGTTCAATATAGCTTTGACAATACTCGTCAATATAATAGTTGGAAAGCATACTCTTCTTTTTTCTGGGATATTTTGTCAGAGCAGTGTGCTCCCTCTTATCGTCCATCAGCAAAACCTATAACACAATCGCTTCAACAAGCTCTCGGCCTTCCAGTAAAAGAAGAAATTTTAGATGAAGATGCAGCATCTGAAGCCGAAACTGTAAGAGGAGTCAAAAGTAAGTTTTGAATAGGCCGTTCATTTTACTACATCACCACCTAACGAGGTTTAATTGAAGTTGATACATAAAATTCAACCGACATAACAATTAAAACGGATCGGTAAGTCCTTACTCGTCATAAGTAATAAAGTAGATTCTTCAATATTTCTCATTTCACATACTTCTTGTATGTAACATCATTCGTATGGTATGAACCATGATTTAAAGAAACTCGTTGTATTACAGATCAGTTATCACGCAGAGGCAGTACACCCAATTCACCTAGCCCAACGTCGTTGGTACAGGGTTTTGCAGAACGAGATCGCAGACGGTCAGAGGCGAGTCTTGGAATAACTGCTCAGCAGCTAAAATCTCTGAATGATACTAAAATTCGTAATTTACCTAAGTCAGTTGAAGAAAAGTTGAATTTACTGAACAACTCTAACGGACAACTGCAGCGATCAATGTCAGTTTCGAGGTTAAAAGTAGATGACATTAAGTTACCCACTAATGACGATCAAGTTCAGACTATCGTTTCACCATCAATGCCCACTGAAGATCTTGCTCCAAAGAAATCGAAGTCACCTCGAACACCAATTGTTCGAAATAGACCTGGTTCTGCTTTACGACAACGCCTCGATCAAGAATATCGAGTACAAAACAAGGCAAAATCGATACCAAGTATTGAGATTGATTCTCCAAGCTTGACAACAGATAAAACTAAAAACAATGAACCTGAGATTAGAGATAGAACCTTGTCACAATCTATGAAAACAATTAAAAAGGAAAATATCCCAGCTTCCCCTGACCCAACACCGCCACAGCAAGACGATAAGCACAGCGACCGTTCAAAGCCAAATGTTCCGCAAAGGAAACCTGTGAGGAGACCGGAGTCAGTCGTGTTTCGAGACCGGATTCTTTCTGATATAATGGAAGAAAACGAAAATACTGTGAATGCTGGAAGCCTTAATAAGAATCCAGCTTTTGACGCGCCGAAAACTAACGACAAGTTGAATCGTTGCAGACCGACGTCGGCCTATGTCAGAGGACGGTTGGCGAATGGAAGATTGCTAAGATAACCAGTTTTAGTTTTGTATTAGGATTTGTAGAAAAAACATTTTTTTTATTGTACTTATACATTGTATTAAGATTTTATAGCGTCAATTTAAATATTACTGCAAACGTACGTATGATTTGTTTTTAATTCATGATTATATTCCGACATTATCGTTATAGTTTATCGACTGAATGTTCGTCCTTGAAGCAGTTGTCAATAATTGAAAATACACAAAAATGTCTGAGATTATTATATATATTACATAAGCTAAAAGCTAATTAATACAGTAAATATCCTACCTGCTATTACATTTTTTGAAGGAGAAGGTATCACAATGTACATTCTATTTAGCATGTCACATATATACAGTAAAATGCTGCAAGGTAGATTTTAGCAAATAATGTATTCTTCGACTGATAAACACGTGGTAACACTGGCAAAACCGAATATCATAGATATTTACTTCTAGTCCAAAATGGTACTCCTGACGTATGCGTACCAAGATGGCGGACACTGGAACGTAGTATGTGTACCAGGTTAGGGTTAGGCCATAATTTTAGGTACTAATACCAAGAGAATCGCTTGGCTAGTCCCCGAACTTGTAATAGAACCTTAATAAAGAAATTGGAATAAAATTGTGGCCTATTCTTAACCTGGTACACATACTACGTTCCGGTGTCCGCCATCTTGGTACACATACTTCAGCAGCACCCTACAAAATTATTTAAAATGCGATATAAGGGATATAAAAAGATATACGTGCCCCAGTTGTTTGCATGCCAATCTATTGCAATTAGGACTTCAAGAAATAGGTTTGTAATGAACGTATACTTGGTCAATGTCGAACTACCAAACAATGTATATATATATATCGGGGGACCGCGAGTTGTGTTAAACATTAAGTGCAAGCATGAATACATACAACTCTAATATCTGATTAAAATGTATTAGCTCGAAACTTTTACTTTTCCAAGTACTGTTAATATCGATGAGTATGGCTTATGGGGTGGTACGTAGGCCCAGCACTATAAACCAGATACTATTAACTTTGAACATCGCACCTATGACGATAGTGAATACTATCGAAATATTGGATCAGTTGAGGTAGTACCGGAATGAATATACAGACGCACATCATTATATAAAAATTGCATTTCATTCAGACAATGTTTAGAAATGGTGGGCGAATGGATATTGTGCCAGTGTGCCCTTGCACTTATAACATATCGGTGCTACTTCGATATGCGATCTCAGCGGTTGTATAATCTCAGTGCATTCGTTGGTCTTGTGTCTCTTTAATATAATCTTCAGTAATTATTTATCGCTAGTGAGCGATGATAGTTGGATACTTCGTACGGTACTCACCGTCAATATCAGTGGTCCCAAAACTATAAAATCTCAATTTTCTTGATCAGATATTAGAATCTTGGGTGTCGCTGCTCAATAACCAACTTTGGTTCCCAGAGAATTCTCTTACCCAGTACAACTGTGTAATTATCATTCTCTCGTAGTTTGTTTTCAATTATTTTTTTTACTGGTTCGGAAAAAATAAACTTGACTTATAAATGAACAACAAACAAATAAACATTCTCGCCTTCAACGGTAGGCAAGTGGTATGAGGTTCCGAACATTAGTAGTATAATACTATCGCTCAAAATGAGGATTACCTAAAAGATTACACGCTTACATTATTCAATAACAAGAGAGCTATCCTCAAGTATTTGAACATGAATGGCAAAACTAAATATTTTATCACCAATTCTCCGAAAATCACATGCGGTATCTTACCAGCAACCGTATGCGGAAAACTGGGACTACACGGACAAATTACCCGGGTTTTTATGGAGAACGGTATACTGCGGTACCTGATTTGGTAATACAGAAGTGACACGGATCAGTCGGTATTTAAATTCACGTTAAAACTGAATCATGAAGAATGGATCATCGTCACAGGACCTGAAAAAGCTAGGACAGTCCCTGTACCGATACCGGTACCCTGGGTAGTCGAGTTGTATGTCAGTATGTCCCCCCTTTTCGCTGAGCAGAAGATCCGTGGATGATTGATGAGCACGAGATCCGCTGATATGTGTTCGCGAAACCATCCGAACCAAACGATCCATAGGTCCACTCCGTGACCAATAACATGTATCTGCGTAGGTAGAAAATTTATTACTATACTACTTAGCCATTGGACTTTCGTGACAATATATTTAACTATTTCTCTTTCAGGTTATGATAAACCAATTTACAAGCTTCTATTATACATCTGCATGTCTTAGGTGACCAGTTTCGCTGTGCATCACACTTCATTGACTTGAAGACCGACCCCACAGTAAACGATAGACTATGTTCGATGCTAAATATCTTATGAAGGTACAGACTTAAGCACGATTCAACCAAATTTGATTCTCAAATGTGTTTTGTCCTATTAGCTGAATGCTACTTCGGACTTTTTATATATTAGATAGCGAACTTGTTACAACGCGCTTGACGATAAACCTTTCAACTTCTGGATGCGATGTCGTTTATGAAAGATATTAATAATAAAGGACACACACAGTAACCCTGAATTGCGCCGGATTCAATGCCAAGAAAGATCAGCGTCAACTTTTGCGTGTTGAAGTTGGACCTGCATGTATAATTTATAAGGGTATAGCGCGATCATGAATACAGCAAGAATGAATTTTGAAAGGAAAATTAACATGAAAAAACATTGTGTATTTTTGGTCTCAAAATTGACAAACAGACTTTAAAATGAACTCATACACTCAATAATTAGGAACACAATTTTTTTATATCCTGATTGAAGTATACATATGACGAAATTTATCATTACAACACAAAAAATCAACTTTTTCTCAAGCAATAAAAATACAAAATTATCTATTATTTGAAGAAATTTCTAGGGCACTGATCTAAGTTACTTAGTAATTGGACACAAATTGAATCAATATTTGAAGTAATCAATAGTCAATATTTCACTAACCACAAAACGCTTTTTGTATTTTTCGATCGGAAAAATAAAACGATCCAAGAAGAATATTCTGAACCATTTTATTTCATGTTATCACAAAAATTGTATGATTGAACATGTTAACTTCGCGGGATAGAAACCGCGGAAACAAGTTCATCCAGAGTGGAGCATTTGAGGTGGGCTATCTCGAACCAATAATAATCTGGCCATTTGAGCACAGTACTAGGGTAATATTCGAGAATGAGAGAAAAATGATATTAAAGTAACGACAGAATATAAATTATACAGTATATAGGATAACTCAAAAAGTACAGAAATAAGAGGTATCAGTAACAAAATGGTAACAGCAAAACAGGCGTAGCGTAGCGTCTTGTAAGAAATACCTAAGTTACCCTAATATAAGTTACTGAATTAAAAATTAGCACGCAAGGGTATTTACGTGAATAAAAGCTCATCATATTAAACAAACATCGAAAATGAAAGTACACAATAAGAAACGGAAATGCCAGACAGTACACACCAGTTAATATCGCCACAAATAAATAAATGGATAATAAATATGTAGAAGAACAAGCCTTTGATATTTCGCCAACAATGGCCAGAATCCACCACTCACCCATATGTGATTTAATACCATTGGATAAGTGCAATTAATTTCATGTACCGGCGAATGTTAGTAAATATGGTGCGTTTTACACCTATATCTTGAACCTATAAATATCCCGCTTATTTATACCTGTAATATCAATATGAAATGCTTAATATAAAAACAAGATTAAATTCCGCGCGAGAACAAACAGCTATTTGAAACAGCACGCAACTCACAGAGCCTATAGTAGCAAATGACATTTGCATATTACAGAAATCTGATTACGGAAGATTATAGGTAACTAGGCAAATGTTATTTAAAAAAAATTGAAGTTAGCATCGGAAGAATGAGTAACGGAAGTGGTAAAAAATCTCCATATATCATTGCATATAAAATATGTAGGCTACACTAATTTACAATTGTTTTCGTTAAACCAGAACCAATTTATAAATATGAAGTGAAATGTACGATTCATAAACAACAAACCTTGTTTCACCACACTAAAAATTGATCAAAATGTTTCACGAAAACTTGACGAAAAACGAGAACACAGCACGACGAGACACCAAAATTAGCATTTTATGATGAACTTCTGGAAATATCGTTAGCTTTTAAACATTCTGTCATATTTATTTCAAGAATATTTCGGTATGTGAATAAAAAGTAAAAGAATCCTAGTCCTAAGAAAAAAGCGATTTCAGTTTCTGGTTCAAGTCAGAAATAGCAATGTTATAACAAAGGTAAATGGAACATATTACAGTACATACATCTAAAAATCAGTAAGTACATTTTATAGGACCAGGAAAGGATATTTAAAAAATAAAAATATGTGTATCAGCAGTGAAATTATCTAATTTCTCTCATTTACTTGTGATAGGTGGGCATTATTACACAGTTAAAACACCCATGCGTTGTGCATCAATTTGAACCTGTAAGATTTCCCCCTTCGTTTGTGGTTTCAGGAAGCTTCTTATTTTTTATTTAAATATTTGAAAAATAAAAATATGTGTATCAGCAGTGAAATTATCTAATTTCTCTCATTTACTTGTAGTAGATGGGCATTACACAGTTAAAACACCCATGCGTTGTGTGCATCAATCTGAACCTGTAAGATTTTCCCCTCCGTTTGCGGTTTCAGGAAGCTTCGTATTTTCGTATTCCGTTTCAGCAGATATGCCAATAGTGTAAATTGCGGGTTTGCTTGTCATTTCAATATAATCTTGTGTGTCCGAATTATCTCCATTTTCTTCGGTCCGATCTGACGAATGTGGATCTTCTTTTTCGTTTACTTCTCCGTCCACTTCCTCCCCATGTCTAGAAATATTGGTTTGCCTCCTTCGAACACGTCCACGACCTATATTAAAAGACAAGAGAGCAATGTTTATATATATATGAACAAGAGTCCAACAAGTACATCTAATGGGCTCATTTGTCATTCCTGGCCCCGCCTGACTACGTCATCCATAAATAACGTTAATGCTACGTTTCGTGAATAGTTTAGGAATAAATGAAAGTAGAAGCTTTTTATCCACAACAACAAGCTCTAACCACTGAAATTTTCAAAGCAATTGGTTCAGTAGTTAAGAAAAATACGATTATTTCACAAAAATACCACCCCCAAAAAACAGCAACATAATAACAAAACGATCTAAAGGTCCATTTCGTGTCGAATAACTACTAAAAGAACAGAATCGGTGTGGGATGATGCAATACTTATATACGATGCCAGGTTGTAGTTTAGATCAACTCCATCCACAAATCTTCAAAAACCACGAAGAAAGATAAAAAGCACATTCGCGGACAATGTTCGACCTACAACCATGCCATGATCGTCAGAAAAACAAGTTAATAATTAATGCGATGACACTTCATCATGTCATTCACACCGCCAATTTTTATCATAAGTCATCTATGTCGTAATAATCCTACATGCCGTATCTTACTACATATATTTATACATAATGTTCACTTTCGATAAAGTTTTGGCGAAGTAATTATTAGACAATTCCATAGAAAATTTTAAATAACTACCTCTTTCCCCGGTTTTCTTGTAGAAGTCTGTTATCAACGTCCAGACTGTTGCCATAAAAGCCATTCCAAAGATTATCCAGAAATAAACCATAATGCGATATATCAGAATATATGATGATTCGGGATCGGTTCCTGTAAAGTAAATATGAATTATGGAAAGCAAAAAATATACTAAAATCCCATATAAAATAGGTATAGGTTTTAGTAACTTATTTGGAAGCTCGGTCGTAACTGGGTCATCCCGGCACCAAGCACCGACAAGACTTTCGATGACATAAAAATGGCGTAACTAATTGATATTCTTGAAGAATGTTTACATGACTTCCTTAGATTGTTGAGTAATGTGAGCTATGGATTTTTATTTGACTGAATAAAGTAAAATGTGGGTAAGAGTCTGGTTTTGTATGTAATTGACCCGAAATTGAAATTACTTAGTGTCAAAAAGCTCATTCATGGAACATATTGACATGTGTATCGGAAAACACCAATACGAGTTTTGGTTTGATTTGGTTTAGATAATTTAAATAACTTATAAAGTACCTGCTACAAAATCTCCAAATCCAATAGTAGATATTGTAATGAACGAATAATAAAATGAATCCCCGTAATTCCAATTGACTTCGACAGCTTGGAAAATTGCAGACGGGATCAAAAGACAAAAAACGACGAATGATAAGGTGACGATGAGAATAAGAACAAGTTTTCTCACCCATGTCCGAGATGCCTATAATAAATATTAACCTTTATAATTAAATAACCATTAAATGTATCTGTTCTCTGTAATGGATTCATTTGCAAGACATAGTCATGTTTTACAAGTTAGCCAATACCTAGTAAACCGGATATTAAATATGGGTAATTCATTTTAACAAAGTTTGTGTTATTGCCACTTCTAAGCCAACACGTACTTTAATAACCAGGCAATACAATGATTATTTGAAATTTGATTAGAATGGAAGAAAGCTCGCTGTGCACAGAAACAAATACATACTTTTCCATTTATCCTTTCTTCAAGCTTCAAAACCAAATTGGCTATTTTTTCACCGAGCCCACCGAACATCAAAGCAAACAATGGAATTCCTATAAGAGCATAGATGATGCATATGGCTCGACCAAGAGGCGATTTTGGAGACATATTCCCATAACCTGAAATTACAATAGTAATTGAGAGAATTCTGTGAGTATTCAGTTGATATAAGCCGCTATTATACTTTCTTTTTGTTAGTCCTGTTGTTATTTGGGGATACTATCATGGTGGGGAAAACTGTAACCAATGTAGGGGAAGGTGGGGCACGTTGGGACATGGAGCACAGTGGAAAAGCAGCTCTCACACTCATACTATATCCGCAATCCTGTCCCAGTTCGATGTTTCGATCCGCCCTTCCGTGAGTTACAACGTCCCCGCGAACGGACAACGGACGGGTAGAGCGGCGCAAGCTATGAGGTGAAATAGGTTTTGGGAGGTTGAAACTAAAATTTCACCAATCCAGTTTTTTCTTTTTTCCACTTTAGCATTTCCAACATAACAAACCACCGTCTAATATTTTTCGGCTTTACTCCACTGTAAAATATTCATAACGTTGGCAAGCTGATGTGCCTTCCGAATTTCGCCTCGGGATGGTCTGAAAATACTTGTTTCCTATGGGGAACAATGGACCGGGGTTCAGTGGGACATACCCTACAGGGCGCAATTCGAGAGTGTTTGATACAATAAGTGCTTAGAGACCTAGATATGCGTTATATTTTTGTATTATATTATGGTTTCTTATGAACCATGGCCGAATATTGAATACATTCGAGAATCAATAATATTTCCAGATTTAGATTCGAGGAAGGAAAAAATCAAATTTGTTTTCGAAATTTTTTGTCAAAATATCTGAACTATTTCAGTTGAACATTGATTTTAAAAATATTGAATCTTCAAATTTGAAGTCTCCCTGTTCTTTAGACGATTATGCTGATTAACTGCTTATTTCTAAGAGCATACTTCGTTAAATTTTGACAAAAAGACCCATTGTGCCCTAGGGTATGGTGGCCCATCGTTGTCACGCGTACAATTGAAAATAAAAATAAAAAATAAAATAAATAACCGAAAATAAAAAAATTGTTGTAAAAAAACATAAAAATAATTAAAAAAAAAATTGAAATTAAAAAAAAATAAATAAATGAAAACGAAAAAAAAAAAAAAATTAAAAAAAAAAAAAAAAAATTTGAATGAAAAGAAAATAAAAAGGTTGACAACGATGGTCCGCCTCGTGGCCCATCGTTGTCACGCGTTTTTATTTTTAGAAAATTTGCTTCTGCTTGGGACCAACGTTGTCAGGCATAATCCTACGCGCACAAATGTGTTCCCTGGGTTTCAAACTCACTACTGATTTTCTTGAGCAATATTCAATATGAAAATGTTCTATAAATTCTCCATGCTACAAGTTCAACAAGAAGTAATATATTTATAATAATGATAAGAGAATATAGAATTGAATACGAAAATTCGGAAAATTTGTTTTTACGTGTATAAGGTAATTTAAGTGGAGAATGCTGCTTAACTACTCAGTTGTCTGGACACTCGCGATGCCGGTACCGTACCGTCTTACCAAATACCGGTAGTCGGTTATAGTCGCTTTGCGTCTGGCCGTACCGGTAGCCATACAATCACTCATGAAAGAGTGGGAGATACGGATAGTCTCGTAGAATATAGACTACTGAAACACTCTCTGCGCCTGCCCCATACCGTACAGCCGTAACGTACCGATCCAGACAAATGATAAATCGCCCGTGGTCAACCATTTATTTCAATCCATACCTCGATCCTAGTAGAATATAGTGAGTCGAGGTATGGATTGAAATAAATGGTTGAGCACGGCCGATTTATCATTTGTCTGGATCGGTACGTTACGGCTGTACGGTATGGGGCAGGCGCAGAGAGTGTTTCAGTAGACTATATTCTACGACACTATACGTATCTCCCATTCTTTCACGAGTGATTGCATGGGCACCGGTACGGTCAGACGGTACCGTACCGGCATCGCACGAGTGTCTGAGCAGTTAAGCAGCATTTTCCAATTAAATTACCTTCTACACGTAAAAACAAATTTTCGTATCCAATTCTATATTCTCTTATCATTATTATAAATATATTGCTTGTGGTTGAACTTGTAGCATGGAAAATTTATAGAACATTTTCATGTTGAATTTATTGGATATTGCTCATGAAAATCAGTAGTGAGTTAGAAACCCAGGAAACACATTTGTGCGTGTAGGATTAAGCCTGACAACGTTGGTCCCAAGCAGCATCAAATTTTCCAAAAATAAAAACGCGTGACAACGATGGGCCACGAGGCGGACCATCGTTGTCAACCTTTTTATTTTCTTTTTATCCATTTTTTTTTTTTTTTCAATTTTAATTTTTTTTTTTGTTTTATTTTTCAATTTTTTTTTTAATTTCAATTTTTTTTTTATTTCTTTTTTTTCAATTATTTTTATGTTTTTTCACAACTATTTTTTTATTTTCGCTTTTTCATTTTATTTTTTCATTTTTTTTTTTTAATTTTACACGTGACAACGATGGGCCACCATACTAGGGTCTGTCCGAATGTGCCCCACAAGTGGGGTACAGTGGGACACTTGACAGACCTTTTTCAAAGCATTTTGGTAGTAAGATGTGTGTCGCAAGGAAATTTCTTAGTCGTTGAATAAAAGCTACATCTACCCCTCTATACATTAGTCCCGCCAACTTAAGTGAATATGCAGAACTAACGGCTCAAAATATGCAAAAGAAAAAAAGTGTCCCAACCTTCCCCTACCAGTCGATTTCAAATTTTACGCATTTAAAACTGGAAGTAGTAGCCAGAAGAATATTACTTTACTTTTTCCCATCAGATCAGATATAATTTTGCTGTTTTTTTTTTAAATGGAAAGTAAACACTGTTTTTATTATGTCACGAGTTTTTTTTGTTTTGACTCAGCCTCATGTCCATGTGATTCGTGCAGGATGCCGGTACTGCGGTTAGGTATTGGACTTTCGTGTTCATATAATTAAGCAATGCCCCCCGTTATCCACGAACAATGTTCTTTACTATTTACTTTTGGATACACAATGACAGACAAGTTTAGGTAGGTAGATGAGGTATTCATATATATATATACACAATCTGTATTTACAGTGCTCCTGGATACTTTCAGTACTTATTAACATCTGTCTGATACGTCGAATTCCTACTATTCAAATAGACAGAATAATATAATCAATACAAATCAAGAAAAGAATATTAATGATCTAAATAAAATTTCTATTTTTGTAGAGCTATATTACCGCGAAGGGGTCGCGTATTTTAACGCTATATCTGAAATGCAGGGAATCGTCGATGTAGATGTTTTAAATTGGTATACTACAGTAAAATATAGAAAGTGTTATTTATGCTTGTAAACAATTAGTGATTTTTATACACTCTTTACTGATCAAGTTTCCCTACCATTCCCGAATCATACAGGCTTTTTCACCGCCCTGATGACAAGATCATTGCTATCTTATTCAACAATTATCGAATGAGAATACTGACAACTGCGTAGATTAAGACATTCCCATGCCACCAAAATAGTAAAGTCAATAGTACTGTTCCGTAATCAGTGTTATTCATGATTTAAAAATAGATATGTATTTTAATTTATCATTAGCGATTGTTTGACGTCACTTTCGCTATTTGTTCGCTTTTTGAAACAATTACATCCGCAAGGATGACGTATATTTCAATAATTATGTTTTTTTCTAGAAACCGGATGAACATTGTTGACCACTAGCTCAATATAGGTAGCATCGGTATCACTTTTCAGGCACTAATTTGCTTCAAAAATTATCTATGTTTTATGGAATCAAAAAATTGCCTTTCTCTTTGGACTCAAATTGTTTCACCCGAAATTTTGAAACGTCGCTTTTCGCATTGTTGGGTTTGACCTTTTGATGAACAAAGATCTCCACACGAAAGTAATATTAACTCCACGTTAATGAACGAACTTCACCGTATCCATGAATTTTTAAGCAAGGCTCTTTTGTCGTCATTTATCATACCGCATTCTACTAATTCTCATATACGACTTTCAAAGTCAAGAGTCGCTTTATCAAACGCAAATATATGATTAATTGAATATGTACATGGCGCAAACTTACCAATTGTGGTAACAACCGTTCCAGCAAAAAATACGGACCCTTCAAATGACCAGTTGTCTGTACATGTTGAAGTAAGTGATGTGAAGTTGAATTCAAACCCGTAGGAAGCAGATTCGGAGATCAGCTAAAAATTTATTCAAAATACAGCCTGTGATATATATATATATGGCACACTCCGTAGATAAACTCATTCTTATAATTTACTCCGAGCTGGGGCATTTCAGCAACTTGGAAATTCTGAATCAATAGCTCTAGAGGTCAAAGATGGTTCGCGAACTTGTCTATCAAGTACATTTGTAAACAATTCCAGTACTAAAGATTCCGAGGCGAATTAGACGGCCGTGAATCCAGGACATTTCTATTTCTGTTGTATATATAGCTACAAATAAAAGTAAATATTACTCCCCACGTTTTCAAGGTCGGATAATATTTGAACATTTATCATTTGAAATGTATTTAAAATGTTGTCATGTCTAGTTTTGAAACTTTGCTGGTAAATCTGAAGGCACCAGGCGAAAAAGTGGTTTAACTTTTAGGTAAAACTCATAGCAATGTCTGAATAAGGCGTTTAGTAAGGTAAAACTTTCGTTACTTATACAGACTTCGTATACCACCTACCGTAGTCAGGTTTCGCAAATCATCCATACTTGCGTTCGCACTATCATTGTTGATATTATTGATCAGAAGTATAACGCTTTCGTTTGCTTCCAAGCACAGTTTCTTGTTGTAAGGTCCTTCGATGGCCATGAATATTGCTCCACCAATTACAAGATAAATAAAATAACAGACGACAAGCACAAAGAGAATTTTCCCTTTCATTTCAAAAAATACAGTTACATATATAAATAATATAATTTATAACTGAAACAATGAATTAGATGGAATTTTAATCATTAATTAAAAGCTTCTATACCTGATGATGATGATGATGATGATGATGACATTCACAAAATTATCAGAAAAGCCTGAACAGTTTTGTTATTTAGTCCTAAGTTCCGTAGATCGTGGCTTATTGTGTATATAAGACCCCTTACTTGTATCTCCGCAGTTGACAATGCGGGGATTAAAATGAGATTTTTCCAGCGGTAGGCCGTGGGTAACCCACAAAGTTATATGTAACCTCACTTTCTAGGAATTAAACCAAATAAACAAAGACAAAAATTGCATTTCTTGAAATATACTAAAGAGAGAGTTAATCTTCTTCGGCAGCCTTCTGTTATGTGGGATTTAAATGACATAACCATATTTTAACAACTTTTCGGTCGATTTTACACTTAGGCCCCTCGACACTATTAACCACACCTATTCGTCGGTAGGTCAGCAAAACGCAAATAATGGCCGCAAATACAAATTGATGATATTAATATGAGCATTACGTTTATTAAATGTAAAAGGCACAAAATAGAAAAAAATTATCGATCGATAAAATCTCCGATTCGAAGAATTGCGAATGCGCCATATTAATGTAGTCAGGAAGAGATTTTTTTTGTTGTTTCTTCGTTTACAGTATAATCACGAGATAACCTCTCTGCTGTCACTTTGACAATAAATCGTAATTTTAATATTTTCGCGACACAGTTTACAACAGGATAAAACAATGACTATATTCATATGCGGACATTGATCATACCACAACATTGATTTAGCATGGCCGTTGTAATTTAAGTAAATAATTTTGAAATTTTTGCATCATTTACTATCTCCTGTTTGAAATCACTGCACTGAAGCAAACTCACCACCCAAGTGAAAAATTGAAATTGAAGTGACAAATAAGATACCGTAACTCTGACTCGCAATAGCCCCACCAATACGGATTTAAACACTTTGACCAAATCATAATCAATTCCCAAAGAGATACAATCATGAACTCAGATAACTATTTCGAGAAGATAGCGAAGAAACCTTGCTATCAACAGTATGAACACTATGAAATTTCTGATTGCCGTAACAGCTGGCGGGTCCGTCCGGAGACCTGAAAACATGGGTTTTCGGGAGTATTGAGGGTCCAAAAAGCGTTTCAAATATGAAAATTGTTATGTATGACACAGAAATACCTTTTTCTAGATTTTAAAAGAGAGTTCCGACCCGCAAAACAACCATTTTATCGTAACGAAATCATGGACACTGACCGAGTCGGCGAACATTTTCATATCGTAGTAGACCTAATATTATCGACAATATTATCGGATTGAAGCATTAACAAATAACACATTTAATTAAATTATAAATAACCCAATAAATAATTGAAAATTACATCGCACATGCTTTTTTAGCTGCTAATTGACATCGTGAATGGTTCATTTTGAAGTCTCATGGTGCCTTATTATTGTATTGTGACGATATGCATCTTTGTATGGCCTCACGTGACATGGATTATTATCAATGATAATAAGTTTTGTGTTGTACTTGCCAAGCATGAGTTACCTAGAATAGACTGATTAGAACTCAAATCACATTTGGCCCTTATTTAGTTTCGAATCAAACACAATGAAGTTTTTTTTACTAAGGTTATACTTTACTTTTAAGGTGTGACCTAACAAAAGCGATCTATACATGCAATAATGGAATTGTAAAGAAACCACGAATGAATAAGTGAATGGGAGTGACGTTAGCGCGTCAATGCCCACTGCTTACCGTTGCTAAAATAACAAGGGAGCTCACCACCAGGTCGCGAGAGTGGAAATGCCACAATGGGCTTAATTTTTTAATCTTGATTACATCATCGCAAGCAAAAAAAACGTATGTCACAGAGCCAATTATAACGTTATAATAGGCCCTTGAAATCTAATCGTTATTACTTATGTTGATAGGTATTTGTTTCTTAGCGATCTTAATGTATTTGTCTGTCTGTTAGATGAACGCGATATCTCACGAAGGCAAGGTTGAATCTGCTCCAAATTGCATGTGCTTTCATCATATCTCGGGCCAGAAACCTATTGATTTTGGATGAATTATGTCGTATAATTAGCGAGTTATTAATTAATTAGTGGTGGGACGCCCGGTGCGGTGTCACTATAAGGTCATGAATCTAAACCGCAGTTTCGATCGATAAGTCTTCGGTCTCCGACCCGTATTCTCGTCTGTTTTTCTGTCTGTTAGACACTTTCGTATGTTACGCGATATCTCACGGGGGTGAATCTGCTACAAATTTTGCATGTGCATTCATCATATCTCGGACCAGGAGCCTATTTATTTTGAATGAATTATGTCATATAATTGGCGAGTTATTAATTAATCAATTATTATATTTTTTTGCGGGAGATCGATAAATCGGCGATCTCCGATCGCTATCTAGTTGAATATACATTATGACGATAAAGCGTCATGGCACAGGATAACCGACTTCATAACATCATTTCATAGTCGCGAAAGGTGAGGGCATGGTCCCAATTTCTGATAAATGAAACGTTAATGATAAAAATTACCATTCGATTTTTTGATAAACGGTTCTACGATATAAAAATATACGAAAATAGTTAAAATATTAAATATTCTTAGATTTGTTGTTGCTCAGATAAATATTAGTAGGACTATATATCGATGTTTCATCATTTTTTTCGAAAAATAAAGGCATTATTAGGGTAAAAAACTGTTCAATAAATTCAAATTGGTATATTTGTTAAGTTGAAAAAGTAACGTTTACTAAATTGAAAAAAAATCATTGGACCGTATATTATTTTGAATCTTGTAAACGGAAAAAATTTACAACAAGAACCATCAAGCCGTTTAAAAAAATAAATAAATGTCAGTTCAAAATATTTTTGAAACAATCATAGTCTTAAAAAAGCCTTTAAATTCATAAACGACTTGAAAATAAATAAATAATACGAGGAGACTTCAGCCTACCCTGTCTAATGGTAAATTTGGCACTGTCTGTGTATCAATACCAAATGTAGAGAACAAGAATTATTCATTGGAACTCTGTCGCCTAGTAGTGAATACTTCCTGCCTATATACATATCTGATTGTGAACTGATTGGTGTTGTCGTCATCATATAGCCCAGGCCGAACAAATCTACAATTTCAACATATACATTTAGTCATATGGCGTTTGTGAAACGGTATCTGAACATTACACTTTAAAATAGTCTAAAACTCTAGAAATAAGAAGCAAGGCGAAACTCTCGGCATGAAGCGTTTACGAACTATTTGGGATATAAGTCTTTCGTAACCAGTGAAGTAAAACACGACATTCCAACGATATAGAAGAAAATCTCTTTCTTTGCCAAAAACGACAGTTTCACAAAAGACTACCTACAACAACAAATAACTGCTTCGGTAACCAATATGATTTCGCCAACGCTTATAGGGGAAACATAAAGATATCGTAAGAGTAAATTCCGCACTCACTCGGGTCTAATTGACCGTGGACAGTTCAAAAGAATAATTGAAGAACTGTAATCATTAATGTACTGTCCTTAACTTACTCATTCCTAAAATCATTCAGAATATTTTAATACAATTTCTGGTTGTTAATGATCAATAAATGTCAGCAACCGGTTCGTATCAACGTATAAACTGTCTAGTGAAATAAACATTGACTAGATTGCCAGTTTCCAGAATGCCATGTGTAATTTTGAGTCCCCGTGTGTTTGTTCACTTACAAAAATCCATTTTATTGTCATTCCATACTGATATACAAATTTATGCCTATTTACATTCATATTCATGCGATATAATTTATATCTCACCATGCAAGTGGCAAATCATTGTTACGTCATAGCTATTTTCATTCATCAAAATTAAGCGAGCGAGCATTTTTCAAATTCAACACGGCCCTAAATATGCAACAAATGTCTGTCTACTTATTCATATCTATTTTCAAATATATATGACAAATTAACCATATGCCTTCTATGATAACAACACAAACTCGATTAGCTATTGAACAAAAATAATAGAGTATTTGGTATTATTAATTTTTATAACAAACTTGCAAACAACATTCGTTGCCTGTAATACTCGCTGATTATACCACCACTTGAGAAAATATACTTGTTCATAATCGTATTGCTGTAAGATATACTTTTGCTACACAAGTCTATATGCTAGCCTACGATATGCGGAATCTGCTTGAAACATCTTTGGATTTGCTGCAGTAATTAGCTAGCTGTAGTCGTTGAACAGCACCAAAAGGCTAACTTCTAAAACGCTAAAATATTACGTTCTATTCATCACCTCCACACAAAGGAAACGCTTCGAATTACGCATGAGGTAGAATAAACGTCATACAGCATCAGCAGGAAAAGTTGCTAGGAATAAAATCAGGCGAGACAAAGTTGTTAATCGATTGAGAGAACACTACCTCTTACTACCTAATTGTCGAGCAAACCTGTTAGGCTGAAACCGTCCAGCAAGGTATAAGATAATGAGAAATAACGGCGCACTATTAAATATTATTTGTTTGCATTATTCCCTTCTGCTGATAATCCAATAAAACTACCACCTGGTAACATTCAGATCATATTTACAGCCACATCTAGCAAAAATTGTATCGATGGACGGTGTATACATGAATTTGGAAGTGGATATTACCTGGGTATTATTTTAATAAACTCAAATTGAGCTTCTCCCAAGAAAGATGATCAAATAGACACCTCCAGATAAGTTATTACTGTTGGGTGGGGAAAGAGAATTGTACTTGTGTAAATATGGATAGCAGTGACGTTTGATTCTTCGATAACGTTTTTTGACATTTGAGGCTGCCACGATCAAATCTGATCAAGCGTGGCTATGCGAATGTGCACATGTACACTTATTAATCCTAGTATACCATTCGATTCGTTTATTACTCCCAAAGGAGCAAATTAAAAACACATACAAATGAATGTATACAGAGAAAATATTGG